CTACTGTGCTCGTCATGTCCGTCGAGCCACGCGATCGTAGACCACGTGGTCTTTATGTGTGCAACCAGTTATTGCGTGCGGCGGTTGCCTGCTGAGCTCCAATGTTTATTCAAACTCGAGGTGAAGTGTGCGAGTAAATAATGATGTTAAGTCTGATCGATACTTACTAGTCATGCTGTAGAAGAGGGGACATGCTCCACTATAGAGGCACACTCGCACAGAACAGCAGCTTACGATTCGTGCTAAATACGCCCGTGAAATACGCATGCGAGAGCAATAAAACGTGTAAACCATCGTTAAAATTATTACAATTATGAAAAAAATTATTAGTGGTGAATGGCTAACGATACGCTCTATAATGAAAATACTCAATGAAATTCCTGAGACTGCCACCATAGCGTGTACGATGTTTACGTGGTTTTGTTGGTGGCAGGCAGCCTAGCGACCATAAATATCAATGTTGGCATATAGGTGTGGAGTATTGTTGGGAGTTAGGCGTGAGTTGTTAAACTTCTGTTATAGGGTTAAGTGTCAAGGAGCTGGCGATGGCTTGGCCTCAAGTAATGTGATTTATATATGCCTAACATATTACAAAAGTATCAACTCTGTTACTAAAGCGTTAATGTTGTTGCTCTGTACTAAATACTGTTAATGTTAAAGCTCTGTACTAAAGCGTTAGTATTGTTGTCTGCCTGAAAAAGTATCAAGTCTGTGACTAAAGCATATTTTCTTTGTATTTTTGAGACTGACATATAAAAACTGCAATAAAAAATTCGTTTTAGCTGTCATAGGCTTCAATTATGAGAAAAATTCATTAACCCATTTTAAACGGATACATAGGCCTCCTATAATGCTATTCGCATCGAAAAGCCTATTAACAGGAATGTACGTGAAAAGAAAATATATAACTCAGTAGTCACTGCAGTGAGTGATAGAGAGCGCATTTTCTCGTTGACGAAAATGTTAAGTCACCGAAGGACGGACACATGACGAGCACAATAGCGCCATTTTTTTACATAAATGAGAAAATGCGCTAAAAACAATCTGATATTCTTGAACTCAAGATAACGGATAAAAAGGTTTCTTCCACCATCCCAGTCGAATTTTTCGCTCCATTTCAGGCCGCCCGAGGACAGACAGTCTGCTTTGGGGTGACTCAGGTGCCTATATCGGCCACCTAACTGCAATCATCGGCTATATAGGAGCCGACTGGGGGAGTTGATTGCATGATAGGCCGAATATACGTAATCAGGCCGAAAAAAGCAGCTGGCTAGGCTTCTGTGGCCAGACGCTGTTATTTGAGCGAGCCATTGCCATCTCCCGCTCATCATACGGCGTCGATGTATGTTCACGCGTACGTTTGTTTGATAAGTCATATCATGAAAGAAAATGCGAATTGACTTTACAATTTTTTCAGCTTTCGTGGTACCCATTGCGTACGTGACAAAAATCATTGACAAACTTGATAGAGAGCGTGGCAGCAAAAAATAAATCACTTTAGCTCCATGAGAAATTTGCTTATCATAAGATTAATGACTGATATGTAATTGGCAGAACCAGCAATAGATGAACGTTCGATTTTACATTCTGGGCCAACAAGTTTATATTAATATTCAGTTTACTATGATGTTGGTATGGAACTACTTGATATAGTTATGGCTGTGCACTGCCTGGTGACAGGCATTGTAGATTACAAGTTATCTTCTGTTGTCCAAACAAGGTCTAAGAAATTGAACTATACCGTATACGGGTCAAGATAATATTGTGGTACGGTTGACAAAATTCCTAATGTAGTCTGACATGGAATTCTAAAAAATATGATAGCGATAACGGGTGAATAAATGTAACGACTTATTGCGACATAAATTACGTTACTTGTCCTAAGCATGTAACAAAGCTTAAAATTTCGCCCGAACGCACTACAGCGCTTTGTTGAAGCTGCAGCACCAACAGCAGCAGGGCAGTGGACAGCGAACTAACATGTTCCAACCAGTCGGCAGTCTCCACTAAGTCCACATCGTCAGTGTTCAGCGTGGCAGCGTGGATTATGTCCATTTGTGAGCTGTGTTTAGATTTTTGATGGAAAATTGGCATTTTAACAGAGGTAAGAAAGAAAACTTGCATTTGAGTATGTTATCGTTACTTTTTCTGTCAAGGTGTTGGACAAAATTTATTTTCACCAGTGAATTGTGATAGTTTATAATTATAGTCTTATTAGCACGTAAAAAGCATGACTCATCGCTGCACGGGTGTCATGGGTGGCTTTCTCTCCAAGGACCTCAGGCTCACGAGTCACAACTGTTCGAAGAAATTTTATTCATTGCCATCATTGGTGCAAAAGACATTGGTCACACAACTTCGTCCGTGCTTTACGGTTCTTACTTCATATAGTTGCTTTCTTGTATTCGGTGCATAAAATAGTTGCTAGAACACGTAAAGTGTACGACTAGTTCTTTTTGTTTTGGTGCATAGTAACTTTATTATTGTCAACTGGTAACTCCTGTAAGATTGACATTAACTTCAGTATAAAGCAACTGACTTTTATTGAAACTAATCGATTTTCTCCAGAGTCTACACGAATTTGAAAACCTTATGACGCAGACAGCGGCAGACGTCTGTTAATGTTATAATCTTACGTTAAATTATTGATTTGAATAAATGTATAGGAAGCAGCGCGATGCATTAACACTAATTTTTCGAGGATTTGACGGTTTAAACATTTATTTAGAAATATTTAACTCTTCCTTCCTCCAGTGCTTGCTGTTGACAGAAACGACTCCAGGAACCGGTCCCGAATGGAAATTTGTCGCAAGCTATGACATCCAAAGCTATTAGACACACGCACATACTAACTCATGGGTTCAACACACTTCCTTGAAGCATAATTAAGAAACTGGACGAGTTGAGTACATCTGAGATCGTGGTGAGTTTTGCTAGTACTCAAAAACGAAATTGAAAGTCATAAGTATTTTTATTGTTTCGATACTTTCTATTAAAGCCATAACTTCTCGTAGAATTTTTAGTTCTTACAAGTACATTTTTTTAATAAATTTTCCGCCTGATGCGCATGTGTCGTACGCAACTTAGTTAGAGTCGATTATAATCTACGCGTTTGATTTAGTTCGATTCTGGCTCACAACTTGCCTAGTGAAGGGAATATCTAGTACGTGTTTAGTTGGGAATCTCGCTCTGAATATTTACACTCGTTTCTAGTTCTTCGTGTGTTTTGTTCGAAATGAAGTATTTTACGTATATTATTTATGATATGTGCAACACTAATTTATAGGCGATTATTTTTACCATGGTATGTTTATTTTACAGACACCGATTTTATTAAGAAGTTCAATGAAACTCTTTTTCAAAACCCCTCGTGAACGAATAAACTTTACACCTTCTCTTGCCTGTTCTCGTTTCAATTACTCGAGCAGTCGTGCAACGTGAAATAGTCTATAAGCTTTCACTAAAAGCACGCTCCATTAAACGCTTGACCTTGACTGAGTCGCCGTAAATTTTTGCCAGATCCCTCTTAAAAATGTTAAGTAGACATTATAAATCTAATTTGCGCTATTTAACTCCTGACGAACCTAATTCTATACTATTTTCGATCTGCATTCATTAAGGTGCAGCCATTGTATTTCGGCAAGTTTTACAAAGCTATGGCACTTCCATGACATACTACTTCCGATACAAGAGTTAACTTTGTGCACAAATATTTCAGGGTTGCGAAGGTGGCCGACGTTGCGTCTCTGTCGTCCGCCCCAGTTTGGTTGTCTCCACGACTTTGGCTCTGCGGTCGCCTTCGCTGGAATCTACATAGCGGTACAGAAGAAGAGTTCAAGCGTCCTGGGACTGACGATGGAGAGAGCGAATATTTTAAGCTGGTACCGTGGAAGAGTGCATTATGCTTTTGGCGTGGTCGAATGCATGGTGATGATGACGTGGAAGAGTGCATGATGCTTTTGGCGTGGTCGAATGCATGGTGATGATGACGTGGAAGAATGCATGATGCTTTTGGCGTGGTCGAATGCATGGTGATGATGACGTGGAAGAATGCATGGTGCTTTTGGCGTGGTAGAATGCATGGTGATGGAACGTAGAAAAATGCATGGTGCTGGTGACGTGGTGGAATGCATGGTGCTGGTGACGTGGTGGAGTGCATGGTGCTGGTGACATAGGAAAATGTTCGCTTCTGGTTAATATGAGAGCGCGCATCACGCCGGTGAACGCTAGTAAATAGTGAGCGCATGTTATTGAGGGACGATGTGGCTTACTTTAGAAGTGATTTTTCCCTTTGTATTGTAGCTAAAGATCAACTTGAATACTGTAAATTCGTTACGAAGTGGAAAGTTTTCCTGGTTTCGGAAGCTTTGTATTGTTTTCAAATTACATTGTTGTGTCACTGATTGCGTATTCTTTTGTTTTCCTATTACCTTTGCTGAACAATAATTAAGCTATGCTTGTGGTGTAGGCTCGATGTAGGCTTTATTGTGCCGGGATTGTCAATAATAATTCGAATATAACGGAACATAACATAACAGGATGGACGTAACAAAGAATTCATGGATAACAAGATTGATCTGCCGGAGTATTAGAATTATTTTAAAATCTATTGAGGATAAATTGTAAATAATTGGCTTTATTAAGACCCGCCATCACAAGCGCTGAACTATTAACAAGAGGACATCACGTTATTGAGACCGGAACTGCTCTACATCAAATGATTCTTTTCATATTTCAATTAGAAATTTAAAGTACTTGCCGTTTTGACCTCTGGCAGTAGAAATCCACATTCAGACTTTGGACTTGAAGATTGAATATCAAAAGAGGATACGAATACTATGAGGTAAGATACGAGGACTCGATACTAGGCTACACATTCCGTGGAGATATTCTACCAACCCGGTTCTGAGTCGTGGCCGAGATGAATTTTGCCACTCGTTTGGCGAAATATCCTGAACGACCGGGCCAAGACTATATACGAATACGTTTAGTAAAATATAATAGAAAACTCGAGGCAGGACTATAAATTAGTGCAGTGGAATATTCTATGCATTCAGGCGAAGAAAACTATTTCGTGTATTGAAAATTCTGATGACTACGTTGCATGAAGACGCGTTTCTCCGGTTAAGTATGACTGGCACTTAGCTTAAATCTTAACATTTGCTCGGCAAAGTATCCGAAGCTTAAAGGGTCAATTTTATGGACGACAGGCCACATCAGGCCTACGCTTCAGCGCCGATATCACTATATTATGTTATGTTAAATCCGTTCATTATTGAAGAAATTGTGAATGTTTCGGTTGATTAAAAAATAAGTTTATTGGTTTAAATTCAAAACTAATCGATGTAAAAATCTGTACGTATTGATGATAATTACTCACATTCCAAAATTCCAGCAAATCCGTTCAGTATTGTAGGAGTTATGAATGGTTTACGCGTTTGAGTCCGCAGGCGAGTTCGCAGGCGGGTCCGGAGAAGTGTCGATTCAGTACTTAAAAGTCCTGCGGATTTTCAAGCCTCGTTACTTTCACATCGCGGTCTGGAAAGGCTGTGTTGATTGTTGTTAATGTCTAATGATATATTTAAAATCTTTTATTAATTGATAATTAACATGCCTATTGGTAAGATTCCTGAGAGGTGAGTTTGATTCCATTAATTAAGTAAGTGCCTCCAGTCTACGCAGTTCTATTCTTTCAAAAATCATTAGGTACAACGAAGTTGTAAAGTAATGAACTTATACGAGTACCTATAGCTATAACGTATAAGCTGTTAGCTGTATATTGCAGGTTCTAAAATAGTAGAAAGCTTTAATCATGTCATATAAGTTAGATATATTCCATGGTCTGGCCTAGAATATTATCTAGTAAATGTACCTTTCTTGGTTTTCAAGATGGGACTCAAGCAGCAAGCTTTCCCACAATTTATAGAGAACAGAACTGCAATGTTCCTGCCAATGAAACCTCTTATCTAATTGTTTATTAAAGTGGACAATTAGGCAGCTAGATTCTAAATGTTTTATTTTATGATTGAGCCATAATACCGTATACTTTGTGCTTGCAAAATTGTAAATTCAATGAAATCATATGATTTTAGGACTGCAATATGAATATTCTAGAATTTCTAGTACTAAATGTGAAATTTGTATCTTGGAGATTAGGAGAAAAATGAGAAACCTCTTCATTAGAAAACCCCTTGGCCTCAGGGGGGGACTTCTGACACAAGTCTGTGCTTGTCAGAACTCAGTAGTCCTATGACTATGAGATTGTGCGCTTGTATGGGGATTTCTCCTGAACCTGAGCACCCCCCTCTGAGCTTGCGGTGTCTGACTGCAGGTCTCGATTGTGGGGTTAAGTAGTTATGCAGGTAGGAACCGTAGGATTCCTTGCATTTCCCTTCTCTGTCTCTCTTGTGCGGGCAGCTCTATCTCTCTTGTTCAAGTGTCTTCATTTTTGTTGCTTTTCACCTGTCCCTCATCGTCACTTTGTCTCTTTGAGATACTAATGCTGCTTCTTTCAAGCCAGGCTTAGCCAGCTTCAGGAGCCTAGGACTTAGGAGGGCTGGACATCTGAGACCTCTTGCCCCTTGCCTGCAACTTCAAGTTGCAGGCACGCCACACGGGCCGGGCTGCAAGGATAGCTTACAGCAATAGAATAATTTACTGTATGTAAAATAGAATAATAATGCATGTGAATCCAAGATTGGAACTCTTTTCTCATTGCAGAAGTGTCATGGCCCCAAAGTTACAAATTTTCAATACACTTGAGATCTTGCAGCCACATCATGGCCTATTATTAAATTTTAGATGGGACATATTTCATTTGTTGGGAATCTTGCAGTTCCAAAATGTCAGGGAAGCTCTAGTTGTGGCTTGGATTTGTAGCAAAAAAAAATTTGCAGTATTAAAAAATTTTACTTACATAAAAATTGCATGCAGGTGTTGGCTTACAAATGTCAAATGTGATTGACAGAATTTGTGTAGCTCATTACATAAAAAAATGGTGGCCATTTCTGCATGACGGGGTAATAAGGGCACGGTGACTGGGCACTTCCCTGGATAAGGGACATCCCTAAAAATACATTTACAGTAAAACCTTTGTTAGCAAAGGCTCCAGTTAACAAAAAAAATCAATTAACCAGGAAGAAATTTGATTACATTTGCTTTGCTTAGCAAAAAAAAATGTCACTAAACAAAATACTGATGCATCATTGGTCATCACAATTCACAAACTGTGCATAGAATGTCATAGATAATTGTGCACCGGGCAACATAGTATGAAAAGTAATTAACCTAAAGTATGATTTTTCTCAAAAAAATATGATGGTTGTCACAAAAATGTTCCATTCTGATTCATGTATGTTTTTTACAACTTATTTTTTGTTATAGTGAATTCACTCGACTCAATTAAAATGGTGCAAAATTACAAGCTATCCTGTAAGCTTACAGATAGAGAAGAAAGGCTATATGGCTGCTGAAATGTATAAATATCACATTAATAATATAATAATGTATGGATATGGTAATATATCAATAAAGAAAAAATGAGTAAAATTCAAAGAAAATATCATTAATTCTACATCTACCTCATCTACAAAGGAAGAAGAGGACTTCAGAGTACCTACTGTTAGTAATGGATGGGTACACTCAGCATGCTTCAAATGTTTTAAAATTGAGTTTTGTTTCAAGTGTTCCCTTATTACCCTGTTCCCAGGGTTAGTTCAGGAAGCTTTTATTTTGCGTCTGGCACCTTACAAATAGCATATGGAATTTTTTCAGAGCTGCCATAAAGTAGCCCCTGCAAATACCTTAAAAAAGAGCCCAAACTCATTTATGAAATGTTTCATGGTAAGAAGTTATTTAGGAAAAATGTTCACAACCGTCCCTTATTACCCTGTTTGACGGTATATAGATACACTTATATGTATATATTAATAGTAGCCTTAATATATTGTCAAGTATTAGAATAAAAATGTGATTCTGTTCTCTATAAAATTTGTATTTCCTTTTAGGTATCACTCACCCAAGAAGATATTTTGGGTATTATTCCCAAATTTATTCATGTCCCTCTTAAAATGTAATCACCTGATCATTAAAATGTAATCATTTCATTCTGATTGAGAAGAACTAATTTTCATGGTTCACAATGAATGATATTCTAGCAGTAGTACCTACCGGTACTTGATAAATATGTAAAAATACATTTATTCTTATTTTGAAGAACCACCCTGGTTATAAATGCCTTCATGAAAGAGCAGGAATATTAAGAGCTACATACATACATAATATTACTGTTATTTAATATTTTTTACAATTTGACTCTTACAAAAAATTCATAATATAAATACTAATTTCTTAAGTGCTAATATTTTGAGCATAAATGAAAATTGTGAAATGAAAACAATATTACCATGAGAAGCATGTCTTATGTTAGTGAATTTATTTTTAATAATGGTCGAATAATATATTCCGTAAAATGGGGTAACTTAGACCGGTGGGGTAACTTAGACCACTTTTCGTTTTTTTAACAAAAACCCCCACAACTCAAAAACTATTTGACATAGAAGAACTCTTCTAGTTACATATGCAAATGACAAAGTTTAGGAAAGTGTCATAGTTTGCAAATGGGGGGCGCTGCCCCCAAATGGGGTAACTTAGACCACCTAATGTCAGCCCTGACGGGGTAACATAGACCGGCTTGGAAGTTAATATAAAATTACCATATATAACATATTTTATGTTTGACAGCCTATTTACGTTTTTTCTTTAGGTTTCAGACTCTACAGAGTCTTATATATGGTAATTTAACTTAATTTCCAGGCCGGTCTATGTTAACCCTGTCTGGGCTGCCAGTAGGTGGTCAGAGTTCTCCCGTTTGGGGGAACTTAGACCACCTGGGGGGCGGGACCCCCATTTGCAAACTATGACACTTTCCTCAAGTTTGTCATTTGCATATGTAACTAGAAGAGTTCTACTACAATGCACCAAAACCTGGAGTTATTTGGAGTTATTTTACCAAAAAATAAAATTGATTTTACCACCCGGTCTAAGTTACCCCAAGAGCTTGGGTAACAAAGACCATTACTTTTTTTAAAATTACATAAAGACTATAAGAGGCAGGAGCCAGCAATTTATGGTGAGTGAAGCTAGAGTATAGACCTGTATTTTGCATGTTTCAATTCAAGTTTAATTTAGCTAGTAAAAAAATGGCATCATTTATAAAAAAAGTGGTCTAAGTTACGGTTTATTATAACAGTACTTTGCCAAACAATTTAAATTGAACTTTGTGTGTCAATATTGTTTTTCTGTAAATATAACCATTGTTGGAATTAACTTAAAGTTCTGATCCAATTGAAGTTCAATAAATTTCCAAGAAGCATTTTAATGATTGGCATCTCAAATTAAATATAAAAATTGGTCTGTTGTATTTTTCTAGCAATTAATTTTGCATGGAGTTCATGTAAGAAAATTAAATGAATATTGCAATTTTCATCAGTACAAATATGATTCCTACACAAATCATAATTTTACTACAAGAAAATTATTTATTCAACATTTTGTGTAGACTTTGTCTAATACGTACCATAAAATGGGGTAACTTAGACCACGTTTTTAAAAATGATGCCATTTTTTTACTAGCTGGGCTTCTTCTTGGGCTTCATATTCAAGAGAATTTCTAATCAAAATTTAGAAATGAGCTTTTTAAGCTTCTTGAGCTTTATTTGGGGGGAATTGTCATGAAAGTGTAACTGTCTTGTATCCATTTAAATTGTTGAGTAAAACAGTGATGAATTTATATCTGAAGATATTTATGTATTAATGCACATAAATGAGAACCTAATGTTTACTGCAGGTGGCTGGACTACAGCAACATGGGGCGCCGGATCCCTGGCACACGCTTCATCTGCTTTAAAGTCCCTCTTGACCAAGTCAGTAACTTTTGTATTGATACTAATCTATATAATGTAATTCCTTGATAGGAATGGTGCAGTTAATGTTCAAAGTGAACTATATTGTTGATTTCATCATATAAATGTAGCACCAAGATATGATGAAAATCTGAAGTAATTTTAACTCAAAACTTGGGATATAAAACATATTTTACTGAAAATACTTTTAACATTGATGATTGAGAGGTCTAACCATCCTGAATAACACAGAGCTAAGTTCGATCCAAATATTATATAATCGCTGAGTTTGTATATATATTCATTAATGTCTCACAACGAGCTTTATAATGGTTATATATTTTTCTTTCAATGCTAAACACCATTAGGCAGTCTGATAACTGGGAGCAGTTTTAATGAAGAACTTCATCCCAACCATGTGACTAGAAATTTTTTACCCGACTTGGGCCTCGAGCTAATTAAAAAAATTGTGCATTTGCGACCAAGACGTCTATGTATAGACACTGGTAAGATAATTAATTTTGGGATATTCTACTGAAATTATTCTCTATCAGAAATATCTTTATGAATCGTTTTGATTTGACCCAGCTATGAAGCATTTCGTTTATGTGGTTCTCTAAGTAAGTTGGCTTTGTATGATATTTTATTATGCGTGTTTGTATTTGTATAAACACAGAATGTAATGTTTATTTATATTCTAATGGCTCCAGCATTATGCGGCTGAATGACGAATGTTAAAGGATTTTGCGAATAATATATAGGTAAGTTGCCGTGTGATGTCAATATCAGTACGATCGCCGTGTGACGACAACATCATTACGATCACCGTGTGACGTCAAAACTACGATCGCCGTGTGACGTCAATATCATTATGATCGACGTATGACGTCAATATCATTACGATCGACGTATGACGTCAATATCATTACGATCGCCGTGTAACGTCAATATCATTACGATCGCCGTGTGACGACAATATCATTACGATCACCGCGTGACGTCAAAACTACGATCGCCGTGTGACGTCAAAACTACAATCGCCGTGTGACGTCAATATCATTACGATCACCGTGTGACGGCAATATATATTGAAGGTCAAGTTAATAAAGCCAATAAACGACTTGGACTGATCAGACGCTCTTTCGAGTTCCTAGATGCAGGAACGATGAAGCAGTTGTTTGTTGCTGTCGTGCGCCCGAACCTAGAGCTGTCTCTTATACACATCTAGATGTGTATAAGAGACAGCAGAAATTTAGTAGAGAGTGTTCAAAGACGCGCAACAAGAATAGTTCCGGGCTTGAAAGGCAAGTCCTANCATTACGGTTGCCGTGTGACCTCGGCAGTCGTGTTCACCGTCAGGAGCAGGTGGAAAATGCCTATTGAAGTCCGTTTGTTTACTCTCGGTATTTGCTCTACTCCAGCTTTAGTTTGAAATTTTCAGCAGCGTTCGGGTTATTTTAAACTCGTTGTCGAGTCGCTTCTTTGAGGTTATCGTCCGGGATAGAACACGTCTTTTTTTACATTTTCTATCCATGCGAATGAATCGAAAGTATAATTTTGCCGGTATTTAGGCAAACATTTTTGAGCTTGAACAGTTTTTGTCTTAATAAATGTTGAGAAATCGTTACATTAATGTCTATAATTCGCGTTGAAATTATTGTTTAGTTTATATGTTAATAATAAAATCGAAACCTAGATATCATTCATCCGATCACATAATGTTCTGCTTCATCATACAATATTTGCGTGCACACGTCGTTCTACTTTATATGTAATATTGACTGTATTCCCTAAATTCTAACTTTTATCTTATCTCATTTACTATGTATATGTTCCAGCCACGCTATCGTAGACCACGTGCTCGTTGTTATGTGTGCTACCAGTTATTGCGTGCGGCGGTTGCCTCCTGAGCGCCAATGTTTATTCAAACTCGAGGTGAAGTGTGCGAGTAAATAATGATGTTAAGTCTGATCGATACTTACTAGTCATGCTGTAGGGGAGGGGACATGCTCCACTTTAGAGGCAGACTCACACAGAACAGCAGCTTACTATTCTTGCTAAATACGGCCGAGAAATACGCACGCATGCGAGAGCAATAAAACATGTAAACCATCGTTAAAAGTAGTAAAAAAATATTAGTGGTGAATTTATAACTATAGGTACCTTCTATAATGAAAATATTCAATGAAATTCCTGCGACTGCCACCAAAGCGTGTACGATGTTTACGTGGTTTTGTTGGTCACAGGCAGCCTAGCGACCATTAATATCAATGTTGGCGTAGGTGTGGCGTGTTGTTGGGAGGCAGGCGTGAGTTGTTACACTCCTGCTAGAGGGTTAAGTGTCAGGGAGCTGACGAGGGCTTGGCCTCGAGTAATATGATTTATATATGCCTAAAATATTACAAAAGTATCAAATCTGTGACTAAAGCGTTAATAATACTTTTTTAGTATTGTTGTCTGCGTACAAAAGTATTAAGTCTGTGACTAAAGCGTTAGCCTAATACTTTCTTTGTATTGTTGTCTGCGAGAAGTATTGCGAAAGTATCATGTCTGTGGTTCAAGATTTGATACTTTCGTAGTAGTGATGGCTGCCTAAAGTATTAAGTTAGACCCAGACATAATACTTTGGAAATATTGATATTTGCCTAGAGTATTGCGAAAGTAATAATCTGTGTCTTGAGACTTGATACTTGATAGTAGTGATGTCAGCCTTAATCATTACGTCTGCGACTCTTGTAACCTTGTCTCAGTAACTAGTGGGTAACTCAAAGTAACTAGTTGAATATTGTGGCCTGTAAGGACGTGTTTTGTGTCTTTTTTTGTTCAATATTATGGTATGGAAAACAAATTGAATATTTTTCCAATTCCACGAACGCTGAATTGATAAGTTCGATACAAGTCATATCGTACATTAACGACATTGGACGCGTGTAACGTGACAATTCAATCATGGGTCGGCAACGTGGTCGATATTTAGGGGATTTATCCCTGGGGGTCGAGGATAGAATTCAAGGGGTCGAAAAACCTATTCGGGGTCAGACGGGGGTTGATTAAGGGGAGCAGTTGGAGTTCATACAGGTGGATGCGATCTTTAATTAATTTCTTATTTAGTTCAAATCAGCGAAAACTGCCTTCTTCTAATATAGACAAGCATTTTGTAAGGTATAAACTACTACAAGGTTTAGGTTATACCATTTCCTTTAAAATTAGGTCATCGGGAAAGACAGAAATGTTTCAATATTTCTACACCTATTTGTATGTGTGTTCATGGTTAGGGTCGATGTCAGAACACATATTCTATGTGCAGTCTTAGGGTCTGCAAGACCCTTAATACATCCCTCTGTTGAATAAATAAAGTTTGCCAACCCTTGCAGCCTAAAGGTCGACTGGACCCTCAATTCATCCCTCTTACCCTCACCCCGCTCTCTGTGAGGGTTGTCGACGCAGTGGCTGGTCATCATCCGTCACTTGAACTCGACTGCTGTGCTCCGCTGCTGCTCGTTACGTGCTTCAAATATTTCTGCATTGCGTGCAAATATTACTGCATTACGTGCAAATATTACTGCATTACGTGCAAATATTGCTGCGTTACATGGAAATATTGCTCCATTAAGCGGAAATATTACTGCATTTACAACCCATCAGGCAAATGTTGAATTAACGTTAATCCAACCAAACGACATTTAATTGAACGTTTATCCAACCAAACGGCGTTTAACTTAACGTTGACGGAACGATACATGTCTGATGGATTTTTTTATTCGTTCCGGCTCTAAACTAATGATATCACGACTTGAAATTTGTAATCAATACAAAAATATATGGCTCCAGCATCCACATTATAGAGCATAACAGTTAAGTTGTTTATTTGCCGCGGAAAAGACAATTTCACCTATGCAATTGAGGCAGTTTTGTCATTACAATCATAATTGCAGCAGTACACTAAGTTCACTTTTGAATTTAAGCCAGTTTCATCAGCGCCGTTACTTTAATTGATAATGCAGTACTGACAGTTTCACCATCATCATAGTAATATTTTATATACTATACTGTTCTCTACGGCATTAAGGAAATTCGGTAGAGCGCTGGTACTTCAACCCATAATTTAGTGATAGCAGTTTCTTTGACGCAGTAATGGCTGCTTCAGTGATAAAGCAATAGTGAACTTGAAGCATTTTTGGAAGTGAAAATTTCAGTATCTTGCGATGACGGCAGTTTCATTAGCACAGTAATATCAGTTTGAGTTGCGCAACCGAAACCGTATTCTTTAGTTACTACGGTACCTTATGTGGCATCTGACGTTGAATCAACCATGATTCAACGTTTATTCGTTGGTTTTACGTCGCTTAAACGTTGTTTTACCGTTATTTGCTTCTAAGGGCCCATTGCTAAGTAATAAATCTTCCCTAATTCAGCACGAACATTCAGCAAACTCCCAACTAACTAGTCTGATGTTAGTTTTAAATACCTACTAACTTACTTCTAAGTGATTAGTTTGATGTTAGTTTATCCAGGAAGACCGCGCCATCGTGTCCTCCTTTTAATATACAGTCCATGCCCCGCATTCCATTGTTGTGCGTACACAGAGTGTACATCGATGTATACTGTACACACTTGTAATTACCGGCCCAACGCCCCCCGCCGTTAGGGTCATTGGGCTCCCAGTATTGCGCCCTGCGACTTGTGTTCCAGCCGCGGCGCGCTGCTCACTTTACTTTATGGTTGGGTGTACCCTCAGGGCCTTGGGACCTGGCACGGGGCCCTAGCCATTTTTTGAGTTCTATTGACATAATTTTTTAACGCAGGGCATTGAGGGCATAATTTTTTGAGTTCTTTAGCCGCAGCAGACTTACGAAAGGAGTCCTAGTCTGGGCACCATTTTTTGAGTTCTGTAGCCATAGCAGACTTGCGAAAATACATTTTTTTGATAACTGCGACCACTTATGAAGCTGAAGACTTTTGGCTACGGCAGACTTAGGAACCTAGATGTCTTAGGTCAATGTGGCCTTATATAAAGC